GGTGCCCACCAAGAGCACCTGTGAGGATGATGGAACCAAGGCTCATAAAGGGTGACACTGTTCTTGAGAGAGCTTGGATCCAAGCCATTGAGGGCTTTATAGGCTGAAAACAGCACTTTGAATTTTGCCTGGAACAAATATCTCTCAATGGGGTTGAGTAGGTAGGCTTACAACAAAACCTGATCCAAAACCACTCCAAATTTATAGATGCAAAACATCATCTCTGTAAGTCTGTGATGACTTAAAGACTGTCTTGAAGAATTTGCTAAGGTTTCCATGATAAGGGAACGTCTAAAAGCTATTAAGGTGCATGTCTCCACCATGGCGCCCAGGACTTTGAGTGGTTGAGCGCCACAATGTTGAGAGATACAACTTAAGTATCAGTGGGCAACTGTGCCCCTCCATGTTTCTTTTAACTACAGCTCCCATTATCCTTCACCATCAATTCTGTTTGCTAGGGTGGATGGGTGTGGTAGGTCAAAACACAGAATCCAGACCATTACAAATAACTCCATCCCTGATCTACATCCTTCTGTGAGTCAGGAGAGAAGTATCTATGAATTACGAATGAAGGTGAGGAAGGATCCTCTAATGTTCTTATTTTGCAGTCAATGCTGGGGGGCCCCAATGCTTGTCCGTTCAAAATTGGACAACAGCCCAATGGCAGAGGGCAAACTTTATTTAAAAATGGTTCCAGATTCACTTGCTGGCACATTCCATTTGAAAACATCTCATAGAAGTCAACAGAAAATACAGTGGTGCCTCGCTAGACGATGATAATCCGTTCCACTGAAATCACTGTTTAGCTAAATCATCGTGTAGCGAAAAGCATTTCCCTATTGGAATGCACTGAAACCTGTTTAATGCATTCCAATGGGGAAGAATCATCATTGTCTAGCGAAGATCAGCCATAGGAAAGCCGCTTTGTGAACCGCCAATCAGCTCTTTAAATAGCTGTCTTGCAAAGCTTAGGTCCCGAAAACACCCATTTTGCGAGCACGGAGGGAGCTGTCAAAATCGTTGTCTAGCGAAAATCGGTTTGTGAAGCAGGGACCAAACATTGTCCAGCAAAATTCCCCTATAGAAATCACTGTTTTGCGAATCGCTATAGCGATTGAAAAAAGTCAATGTCTAGCGAAAAAACTGTCATGCGGGGTAACTGTCTAGCTAGGCACCACTGTATATTGGCCTGAGCTGATGGAGAAAAACGCCAAGATATCGCTCAGTTGAGTAGAGAGAGAAAGCTGTAGCACACTGCCCCCTTGCTTACAACTACGGTAATACATGGAGTGTCAAGATACACTGTATAGTTCTTACCTGCAATCCAGAGGTTTCTGCCAGCTGTGTGTCCAAACTGGCATCATCTGTCTGTAGGAAGAGAAAGAAAGAAGGGCGTTCCTTTAGCACATTTATTTATGGGGGAATGACGAAAGCTCATAGCAGGGAAGGAAATCTGATTCACTTTCACTACACCTGAAGATAATACAGAATTGTTCAGCAGTGATTTCTCACACACCCTCCTGTGCTGAATGGCCTCATTCTGTCTTTGAACTCAGGAGATTGTGCTATTTATCATAACAGCCATTTTAACCAGACACAGGTTTCCTGCCCTTGCCCGTCAGAAGAGGTATTAAGCTGTCTATGTTAAAATCACCTGCATTATTTACAACAAAAAGTGCAGAGGACATTTATAATATAAATACCATATCTGAACTACAAGGGACCCTATGGATCATCAAGTCCAGCCCCTCCCAAGGAGGCACACTCAGGAACTGAACTCCCAACCTTTGATTCCACAGCCAGAGATCTAAACCACTGAACTATCCAGCTGTTCTCTCCTAAAGGCAATGCATTGGGTGGGTTGCTTTTTGAGGGGGGGAGGGAACAAGTGGGAAGGGCTTCTTCTCCTTCCTACATGCCACCCCCCAGGAGAATGGCAGTCTCCTGGGGAAACAAATTTTACTGCTTCTGTATTTTCCTGCAATACATTGCTTGCAAGTGTTAATGAAATTCAGCGAAAAGCCATAAGCTACTCATTCTTAATTTCAAGGTACAGAGACAATCACTTGCATCTAGTGAAGGAAACTGTGTTTTAAAGTTTGTTTGGTTTTTTTAAGCAGAAATGGGTAGGTCATCAGATTCATCAAATTTTTTAACTTAGCATCTTTGTCAAGGGGCGGGGGAACCTCTCGCTCTTCTGGTTAAGTTTCCATCACCCATTTGAATTGTGGCTTCCTAGGTCTTTGGGACAAAGTCTACATTATAGATATGCTGTCATTAGAAGCAGGAAATGCCTTTGTGTTCCAGAAGTGCATCTTTCTGCTGCACCTTCACTACTGAGCATTCACACTTGCAAATAACGGCCATGTTTATCAGTGAAGACAAATCACAAAACAAAGCATATGGACTTGCAAACTACAGCAGCCGTGAAAAGTTCCTGCTCTGGCCTTCAGATTATCTCAGCATTGAAGTAATACCCTCTTCTAATCATTAGCTGTTGGTAATGTATATATTCTGGCTTTAAGAGGAACTCAGCTTTCAAAATAAACCAGTCCCCTCACCCTCCACCCTTGGTATTGCCACGTCTCTGTTAAAGGAGCAAGAAGTGTGAGGAACAAGAAGCAGAGCCAGGATCTGGTTCATTCCTTGTTGCCTAGTTGTGACACCTGGCACGTTTACGCAGGAATATATGCTACACAATGACAAACAGGATTCCAGCCAGTCGTATGGATGAGTGACAGGAAACTCAAATGGACACCATCAGTATGAAGTCACATTGGTGAGAACTATTGTATGAGCAACAGCTGGAACAGGTCCGTCCTGCCCAGGAAATATTTATTTATTTATTTATTTATTTATTTATTTATTTATTTATTTATTTATTTATTTATTTATTTATTTATTATTTTATTTATTTATTATTTTATTTATTGGACTTATATACCGCCCCATAGCGCTACAAGCACTCTCCGGGCGGTTTACAATTTTTAATTATACAGGCTACACATTGCCCCCCCAGCAAGCTGGGTACTCATTTTACCGACCTCGGAAGGATGGAAGGCTGAGTCAACCTTGAGCCGGCTACCTGGGATTTGAACCTCAGGTCGTGAGCAGTTTTAGCTGCAGTACAGCGTTTTAACCACTGCGCCACGAGGCTCTACCTGAGTTCTACCTGATTTACACATACCTTACAGATACCTCAGTGTGGCTCACCTGGAAGAAAGGCCTAAGGTGAAGCTTAGCTAAGCCTAGCTTGGCCCAAGGCTCCTACAATCCCAGAGTTACATGGGAAGTATTCTTTCTGAACAGGAAGCTAAGCCTAAGTCTCAAAGTCTTCCAGTTCAGGGGCTCTTAGCCAGAATATCAGCGACAGTTAAATAGAACTGCATGCTACATATTTTTCAGTCCTAACCCCAAAGAAAAAAATTACAACAAAAAATAAAAAAGAAAGCAAAACCCCATAACACTTTAAAGACTGTTACATTTTAATGTGCACTTTCATGGACAGTTCTATGAAACTATAATAGTCTTTAAGGTGCCTCAGGTTTTTGACTTATTCCAAAATACCAGTCACAGTCAATCAAAATTATAAAAACATTGACTGGTTTTATATAATAGATACAAGTTTTACCCAAAAACCTAAGTATCTGTTCAATATCAACATAGTATATGCTGTTCCAAATGTTGCTGATGATGATCTTTGGGTTTTCCCTGAAAAACTGGCACAGACTAAATTGGCTACCTCTTCTAATTCTGCATGCTACTTGGTTGTAATTAATCACAACACTGTCTGCTCAGTCAACATTAACATCATCACCCCATATTGTGGGGCGATTACAGAGATACGAGAAACCAGGTTGTAACCTCACGGCAAAGGCAGAGGGAACATTTGAGGAACATGGATGTAATTCCTACCTGAACTCTGAAGGCGCAGAGGTTTCCGATAGCCGCACAGAGCAGCAGGATGATGACGCAGACAAGTTGAAGTTTCATTTTTCTTCCTTGGGACAGGTTCTGCTCCTTTCTTGGCAGACTGCTTTCTTTTCAGGTTCCGATGTCCTCTCGCTCAAAGACCGGCTGAGTTTGTGTTATGTCCCAGTGGAAACGGGACCTACTTTTATAGACCAAAGGGTCCCTCCCTGCAGCTGAACCAGCCAATCCGCCGTGGTCCAAGGAAGAACACATTAGCGGCTGATAACCTCTGAGCAAACAGGTCAATAGGTTTATCACATTGGATCAGAAACTGGTATTCCACGCACAGAAAATGGGCCAAATTTCCCAACTCATGTAATCCAAGGTTATTCTATGATACTTCGCATCTTGACTTGCGCCAGCGTGTGCAAAAACGGAACGTATCGGTTGAGTCTGATGTTCCTCATCAGGAATAACATGTTTCAGTGTGCAACCCATTCTTGCCCAGTTTTTAATCATTGATCTTTTTCTGGGGTTTCCCCAGTGATTGCAAATTTACTGTAATTCACTGACCAGAGATATATAATTATTTAAAAATTGTAACCACTGTGAGTAAAAAAAAACAACAGCACGTGAAGGGATGCTTACGGACCTCCAAATCCCCCATGTTTTGCAACATTTCTTCCTGGAAGTGAGCACAAAAAGTCCCACAAATTTGGAGAAATGGTTAAGAACCAAATATGGGGAAACCACCATAATTTTTTTGAATACACTTATTGGGCAATGCTTGGAGATGGGGGCCCTTCAGTTTGCTCTAAAGCTCACAAGAGGCTTAAAAAGAACAAGACATAGCTTTGGATTTAGGCTCTACGTTTCAAGAACTTATACAGTACTTCAAATTTCGACTTGGGACACAAAATGAGCAAAACCTCTTGTGTTCAGCACAGTTGGGGAAAGCAGAGTTTGAAAACATCCTTTTTTTGTACTACAGCTCCCAGCTTGTACACTCGACAGAAGGGCTGGACAGGGCAGGTCAAAAGAGTAACTTTTTCAAACTCTGTAGAAAAGATTTTTTGTTGATTTTTTTTGTTAGTTAGTTAGTTAGTTTGTTTTGGATGACAAATCCATGAATCCTGCAGTCACCATAGATAGGGGGCCATTCTGGCAAAGATTCTGGATATTTTGATCCATGAAAGTAATTTCTTCAAACTATATGTCATTGTGTTGCCGTAGACCTGTTTGAGTTAGCAAACAGCAATCATTAAGATAAATAGTATTGTACTGCACATTAGACAGAAATCTGTTTTTTTAAATTGCCTGCACACTTGTCAAAAGTGGAAAAAAAGTGTGATGCTACCACATATTTCTGACTTTTACAGTAATTTTGAGCTACCCAGACTGAGAGTTATATGTTTAAAAGACCCAATGAAAGCTATGAAATGTCACATTTAGTAATGATTATCTGAGTTTCCATTAATTTAACTGAGTCTACTGCATATAGGCAAAAAGATTGAGACTGAGGTTGTCCTACTTTGGGCGCTTCATCAGAAGGCAGGATTCCCTGGAAAAAGACAATAATGCTGGAAAAAGTGGAAGGCAGCAGGAACAGAGGAAGGCCAAATATAAGATGGATTGATTCTCTAAAGGAACCGATAAACTTGCATTTATAACAGCAGGAACAGAGGAAGGCCAAATATGAGATAGATTGATTCTCGAGCTGAGCAGGGCTTTTGACAACAGAACATTTTGGAGATTGCTCAGTCATAAGAATGCCATAAGTTGGAGGTGACTTGATAACAACAACTGGAAGCATGATGTTTGAAACAAATATTTTATGTGCTCACTTTTCTGAATTACACATTTTATATGCCTGTTTCTCTTTTTGCTAATTAAAATTTTGCTAATTAAAATTAACAAAATTTTTGTTAATTAAAATTGTTAATTAAAATTTTTGTTGATTAAAAGAAAAATCCCCAAAGACAAAATTGGACATATTTTAAAAAATTACAGCTTGCTTCTGGATGTTTATAAGAGTTTTTGTAATATAAAATCCAATAAATTTCAATTGGACTATAGTAAACATTTGTAACTGAATTGCACAAATTTCAAGAACCAATAGAAGTTTCTGAAAAAGCCGATATTCACTTATAATGCAAAGCTGGAACTCAGCCATATTGCTAAAAAAATCCAAATTTTATTGATATTTAGGAACATTTGTATTTAATTCAGATAGTATAGCTTTATGGCACATGAGAATTTATAAAAGTAGTAGTAAAAGGAATGAGAGTTTTTTACAAAGTGATGTTCCGGGTTTTGGAAATGACAAAAGAGTATGGAAACTTAATAAAAACCAAGCCTTGATTAGAAGGAATTTTTAGAAAGCATTTTGAAAACGACAGAATTCTTTTTAAACTATAAAACAAAATAGAATTAGGAACATGGACACTGCTAATGAAAAGCTGCATTTTAAACTCTCAATTGGTAATATTTTTGTAAAACAATTTAAAGTACTAATATCCCTGTAAGAGGCAAGGATTGTATGATGTACATGTTCCTGGGTCCTGGACTAATATTTGGCAGATCCATGCAATCCTATAAAAAACTTTAAGGAAAAAAATCCTGTTCTTTTAAATTAAGAGATCTAGAAAGTTAGCAGTTCTTAGACCATCTCCATATAAGTGGCAGAAAGGGAATCAGGTTGAGGGAGCATTCGTTTATCACACCATCTTGCTTATAACCATTTCACAATGGGGTTGCTCTAATTATCAGATAGCCGATTGTATTTTCTAGGTATTTAATAGCTATACTATGCCATTGTTTTATCTGAAACTAGAAAGCAAAACACCTATAAACTAAAAAATGGCAGGTTACAAAAAGTTTAATATTTCTGCCCTGCAAGGATCATCACAACATAATCTCACCTCCCATGCAGATTACCTTTGTTTGTTTGTTTGTTTGTTTGTTTGTTTGTTTGTTTGTTTGTTTGTTTGTTTGTTTGAGGAAGGAAGGAAGGAAGGAAGGAAGGAAGGAAGGAAGGAAGGAAGGAAGGAAGATGGTTTAGGAAGGAAGGAAGGACTGGCAAAGTGGCCATATCTATTTAATCAGAAAATATTTTCTTTAAAATATTTACGTTTAAAATATTGTAGGAAGGGAAAGAACATAAAAAGCAGGAAAACACAAAGAAAGGAGATAGAGATGTGATCACCTACAACAGCATTTATATCACTACAAGGAAGGAAGGAAGGAAGGAAGATGGTTTAGGAAGGAAGGAAGGACTGGCAAAGTGGCCATATCTATTTAATCAGAAAATATTTTCTTTAAAATATTTACGTTTAAAATATTGTAGGAAGGGAAAGAACATAAAAAGCAGGAAAACACAAAGAAAGGAGATAGAGATGTGATCACCTACAACAGCATTTATATCACTACCTAACATTCTTCACTTTGATTCATTTAATAAAGCAGAAACTTTCTTTTTTTATAATTTAACTTCTGCCACTTACTGTGTACACAAAGATCTACTTATTGTCATTTAAGGATTTTCCTTACATTCAAAAAGAAAGGATTACAAATCTTTGCAATTGATCTGTTGATCTCTGAATGAAATAGGACAGTCTTGTTTTCCTAAAAGAAAATTTAGCACAATCTTATGAAAGATATCAAGTAGAAACTAACTTATAGACACCCTAATAGGGCTTTCAAGGTTAGTGAGATATTTAAGGAGTGGTTTTACCAGTTCCACTCCCCCAGTCAGTTTCCATGACTGAGTGGGGATTCGAACACAGGCCTGCAAGGTCCTAGTCTGCCTCTCTATCCGCTATATCACACTGGGTATCTCCGTATTATAGATAGAGTGTTAATAACCTGACTTCTATTCTTAAATATAATTTAAGCTTCTCAACTTAAGTTTGGCTGATTCAACACTATCTGGCTTGCCTGATCCATCCATCTATCTACATAAATATCGCCATGGAACAAAGTTAAAAGGCTTGTTGACTTTCCTCCCATATACAACCCCAGGATTTCACTGCGCAGACAGTACCTTTGTTTTCGATGTTGGTTCAGTGGAAGAAAATTGATAACGTTTAACATATCGTCGATCAACTGCGTACTTTTCCGCTTCTGTGTAACCAAGGGTAAAAGAACATAATTCCAACTTATCTCTTTCAAAAGCTGAAAATTCATATCTTCTATCTTTAAAATCAGATAAGAAGTAGCACCTTTGTCGATCCACCTCATTTATATTTTAAAACAAAATAATAGATACCATAGACTCTTTTCAAGTGCCCCAGTCTATGGTACCTATCGGTTTGATTTAAAATATAAAAGCCGGATCGACAAGGATGTTATTTCTTATCTGATTGTAAAATTAGAAGATGTGAATAGACAGCTTTTGAAATAGATAACCTGGAATTCTGTTCTTTTACCTTTGGTTACACAGAAGTGGAAAGGTACGCGTCCAGTGCGGTTGACCAACAATGTGTTAAACGTTATCAATTTTCTTCCACTGAACCAACATCAAAAATTGTTTTCCTCAAGCGATTTCAAAGAGCCATTTAGGACCCAGTTCTTCGGCGGCGTTTAGAAAGCTGATACCTAACATGTTATTTTCGTGGGCGGCAAGGTCATAACAAGATTCTTTTGGAAGCTGATGCAATGACACTTCAGTTTGTTTAATTGTTCTCATGCAACCAATTATATTTATTGGTTAATTTTTCCTCATTTCAAACCATTTTTTTCTTACCATTTTAATAGAGATTTCTTTTCAAAGAAGAGAGCAAAAATTAATAAGGGGGAAAATTAAAGAAGGGACATTTATGATTCTTCTGAACAGAAAGAAAAACTTTTTCAAAGTACCTATTAGCCCTCCTTTTCTGTAATTAAACCCCCCTCCCCAATGCAGTTTCCTCAGAGATACATGCCTGGGCATTCAGATATACAAACTGAACCCATGGTTACCTTCTAATGATATGTCCTCACCACCCGTCAAAAACACAAAGCTGAATGCAAAGATAAATATATAAACATGTGTTGCGACATACAGACTTTTTCCACCATTTAGGGGATCACCTCTTCTAATTACATGCTAAATGTGTCATTCAATTTTATCATATGGATTGCATGTATTTTTTGCTTATTTATACTTTTCGTCTGTTTCAATCAGAGATCATCATGAGCTGAAGGCAAAGCTAGC